TGCTCTGGACTTTGAGACAAGAGTGACACCCACCCTCTCTCCAAGGGGACACCAGAGAGATATAACCAACTACAACTGTCCTGTATTTATTGGTGGGGATTAGTCAGCCCCCACAAAGCATTTCTGGCAGGCCTCTTGTAATCATGTAAACCAACAGTAGGGGTACAACTTTCAAAAGCACCAAGGCTCAGATCCTCCAAGATATTTAGGTACCTGACTCACATTGAAATCAACTCACCTAAGGGGGTTGGGCACCTAAATCCATTGGAGTAGCTGAGCCTTAGGAATCTAAGCCCTGTTTTCCAAAGTGATTCAGGCACTTCAGAGCCACATCTCCTTGAGAGTCAGAGGGGTAGCCATGTTAGTCTGTATCCACAAAAACAACAAGGAGTCCAGTGGCACCTTAAAGACTAACGGATTTATTTGGGCATAAGCAAATCTTTCAGGTGCCACCGGACTCCTCATTGTTTTTGTGGGATTTAGCATTACCTCCCATTAGGTGCTCTTCAGAATATTATCCTAGATGGATTTCCTCTGCTTACGTGTATATTCTTTCTGGGGCTTTTGTTATCATTTGCTGAATATATTATGACCTAGTATTTACTCTGGTTAACTTTGAAACTTTTCTGTGGCTTCCCCTTCCCATTTCAATGTTTAACAACTAAACCACTGGTGTATTCTTGCACTACTAATTATCATTATTCTGGGCTGTGGCTTAAAGCTGGTTTGGTGCGTTTTCATTTCCTGACCTCTCGGTGTGAGCACACCCCTGCACTCCATCCAGATGGAAGCTGCAGGTGCCCAAGGAATGAACACAAATGCACTGAAGAGCAAAAAATACACGCTGGGCTCTTGCTACCAGTGCATGAGCTGGCTCAGTTGTTGTCAGCAACCGCTAGAGGTCAGCAGGAGTTGCTGAGATAAGCGCCCTAGCTTGTCTGGAGTGAGTTTTCACTGCAGAATGCAAGGAGAGCATCTAATATTTCTCATGATTCTTTGTTCTGAGCTTGATTTGGCTTCTAGCACAAGCCAGGCTATTGGCTTTGAGGAGGAAGAGGGCAGGACTTGGGAATCCAAAGAAGGGGGAGAAAAGTGAACCCTTTTTAATGTGACTTTTTAAGTAAGAAGTAAATAAAGTGAGCTTCCCCTCTAAGGAGAAGCAGGTATTTGTTCTTGGACTTTGTATTTAGTCACTTTAAAGACGACGGAAACGGAAGACCAGAGCCTGAGCTAGTGCTGATGGCTGCTGAGGTCAATACAGCCATGTCAATTTATGCTAGTTGATGATCTGGCCCTATTTGTGCCCATTGAGCTGGGCTGAATGGACATCAGCCCCAGTGTTTCTTACCTGGAGCTGAACTCGAGCTTTGCTATAAGCTGATTCTTCAGCATGCAACTTTGGAGGCCCCTAGGGCTGTTGTCAGGCCTTCTTTATCCCTCATCCCCACCCCCTCCCCAAAGTTAAAACTCTTTAATGTGCTGAATGGGGTGAAAGATGCTGGCTGGACAGCCCTTGAGACTGAAGTCCTCTGTTTATCTACCAAACAAATACAGCATAGTGAGCAGTAATGAGAACTTCCCCCAGTACCAGCCAATGGGCCACTATGCATGCCTTATTCATCCCTTGGCATCTCTACCGAGTTATCCTGAGGGGTCCAGCTGTGATGCTGATACCTATCCATTAAGAACTGGGCTGAAATTAGACAGCGCTTAATCAGGGATGGGGCCCCTATCATGCTTGGCCCTGGAACATGTCATGAAAAGACAGCTTCTGCTCCAAAGAGTTTACAATCTAATCACCAACTTGTTTCACGCCGGCCACTGAAAACCAGTCAGATGTGGAAAACTTTTATTCACGGGGATCCTGGCCTCTTACCACATAGCTCGTTGGCAAGCCCTTGAGCCATGTGGCTCTCCATTGCCACCTGATTTGGAGTCAGGGTTACGCTTTCTAAGCCCAGCCCCAGCTGGTCATTTTTAAACTCCTTTTATGCTCGGCTCAGTCTGTCCCTCATGATACCGGTTGCAATTCTGCCTTCATAAAAGGCCTTCTGCCTGGCTTCCTCCTTCGCGGCCTGTGAATGTGAGAGCTGCTTTTCCCTCCCCACCTCATCTCAATTCATCCCAGCTAGATTCCATCTGATCTTTGCTGGATCTGCCTCTCTCATTCTCCACATCTCCAGGCTCATTCTGATTGTGTGTTCCGTTGCCCACATCAACACAGGCAGCCTGTCTGCAACCAATTATTCTCCGCGCATGGCTCTGTCCCTCCTGCTCTAAGCTCTCATAATGAGCAGGGTTCCTAAAGGAGCTGCTAACAAAGAGCTTTGGCTTTTGGATTGTACTCCGCCTCAGAGGTAGATGGACAGAGTTTACCAAACCAGCGCCTGGAATTCTATGGTTCTTTCGATACGTTCAGATATGTGCCGGGATGACATGGTATGCAGTAGCCTTTCCACACCAATGAGAGGTGGTTAATTTAAAGTGGGGCTTTAAAGCTGGGAAAATCTTCTAGAGACTATGTACCCCTTTCACTAAATCCCAGTCTGCTTTTAGTCTCTTCATAATTTGCCCTGGCTCTGTTTCATGATTATCAGAGATATTGGTCTAAATTTTCAAAAGTGACTAGCAATTTTTTTTTTTGGCACTCATCCTCTGAACATTATGTCTCTAGTAGTGTCTCAAGTTTGGCTTCCTAAAATTGAGTCCCCACTCAATCACTAGTCACATGGGACAAGTGAGGCCATTTTTATTTTAAAGAAGAGGTTGATCCCTTCCCATCTGGGCCATTTCCTTCATGCCACAGGGTAGAACTAATGTTAAACTGGTTATATCCTATTCTTTTACATGGTTAGGCTTTGATGTCACAAAGCCCTTGTAACAAGGAGCCTGTGATTGAAGAAGCCCTGTCAAAGAGTGAAGGAGAGTGGAGTTTTGGTCAGCGTCTGACAAAATTAGCATATAGGGCATCTACAGCACTAAAGATGGTTGGCTACAGAGAGCCAGGCAAGCTACTCAAGATCAGATTATCAAAGGTAAAATTTATATTGGGATGACTAGATTGGGGAATAGATGGAAGGAAACATTCTTGCATAGAGTTTTCCTGGATAAGAACTCATTTCTGAGGCCCAGATTTTCAAAGGTATTTAGGGCCTAAAAATTTAGCGAGATGCCTCGTGTGCTTTCCCTGTGTGCCCACCCCCCACTTACTAGATGTCTAAATGTCTTTGAAAATGTGGCTCTCAGAAACTAGTTCTTATCCAGGAAAGCTCTGCAAGAATGTTTTCCCTCCATCCGTTCCCTACTCTAGTCCAGCTATTCCACCATTGAATTGACTTGGATGCCAAACATGCAACTCACTAACTTTCCCTCCTGCATGAAAGTCAAATTTCCAAGGGCATTTTTAGGAGTAAATTCTTCAACATGTTCCCTCCACCTCAAATGCTGACCCACTTGCAAAATTCTGCTGCTAAGTGCGCAGACAAATATGTTGTGACTGATTTGGAATGCCCCAATTTCTTCCAGCCTTCAAAAGGGATTCATAAATAGCTCTTTAAAAAATAGGGTAGTTTGCAAATTGTCTTGATTTACAAATGTTATCTAAGGTTTCAGTCACTTAGGAATTTCTAAATAGATAAGATACCAAGGGTTTGTTGTATCTCCTGGCAATTATTAAGAAAATAAAATCAGTTAATATCTAACCCTGAATCCAAACTGTAATGTTAGGATGTAAACTCTTATTCAGCCTCTGTTTGGAGCTTTGGAGTTCTGTGTCCTGTGGGTAGGTTTTCAGAATAATCTTGGGGGGAGAAAATTCTTTGATTAAAACACAGCTGCATGTGCTGATCGAAACACTTTATATGCTGCCCAGGTTTTTGTTATGTGTGACTCAGTCACCTAGATGTTCTCTTCTGCAAGAAATCAAGCAAATAGGAGCCTATTCTGATAGAACAAATTTCCCCAGCTGTGTGTGTATCGCATGTGAAGCTGCAGTAAACAAACACAAGTGTTCCACAAACGTGGACTATTCTTGGCCGTGACAAGGAAAAGAATGGCTGATATTTGGAAAGGGGGTTGGATGACTCAGGGAGTTGGAAATAAGATAAGAAACTTTGACTTCCTTGGGGAGGGAGGATGGTTTAGTGGTTAGACTGCTAGCCTAGAGCCCTGAATTCAATTCTTTTCCACCGATTTCCTTTGGGACCTTGGGCAAGACATGTGGGGTAAAATTTTCAAATGTGCCTAAGGTTCAAATCTTCAAAAGTATTGAGACTTCTAAACTCCCATTGAACTCAGTGATAGTTAGCTGGTTGGTCACCAGTGAAAGGAGTTAACCTTAGTTCGGTTCCTTGTGGACAGGTGTTCCCTGCTTATTGGTCTCCTTTTGTGGCCACAGACTGAAAGGAGGGAGAACACACCCCCTTTGCCTCCAGAGTTGGTCTCTTCAGGACGGGCTTCATTATTCTGGAGGGGAATGAGGAACTGGTACTTGGAGGGGTAGGTCAGAATCCTGGGCTTGACCTGTTTGGGATAAAGAGTCACCATTGGTCTCCTGGAGCTGTCAGACCACTACTTTTCCCCAGCCCTAAATTCATTGTAAAGAGACATTTAAAACCAAAGGGGGGAAACCCTAAAACCAATCTACAACATGATGAGTGCAATGACTGGAGGGCAGTTACACTTGCGGGAAAACCTGGGCTGTCTATGATCTTCTTTTGTTGAGTCCCTAATTGATTCTATTCTACTTAAAAGTTATTTTAGGATGAGCTGTACTGAGTATATGCACAGCCCCTCTGTACCATGCAGTTAGGTCTGGCATTTAAAATCTAATCGTGTATTCCTTCCCATCCCATGCAAGATGTCAAATATTTTAGGTTAAGAAAAGGGAAAAAGAGGAAAAATAATTACACAGTAAATTAAACCAGGGCAACCCCCCTGCTTATTAAGACTTCAAGAGTTACACATTGCTGCTTCTGTCTTCAGCTATCTTGAACGCGTACAAAGGGTAATTCTAAAAATAGGTACTTTACAAATGATTAGGTCATACACTGCTTGGCAGAGACTTTTTTTTTATTTAATTACAAACTAGACCCTGGATTGTTGGTGGAAAAATATAAATACGACAGTTCAAAGCCCGGCTGCCGCTCTGCAGCATTATAAAGTTTGCTCTCCTTAGCTGAGTCACTGTAGATACATTCCCTTTTGTGCTGGGGGATTTAGTCATGGAATGTGGGCAGGCTGGCCTCCGCTGTCATGGTCCTGAGTCACAACTCACAATGATCCTCATAGTGTTTGCAGGCTTAGGGCCATAAGCTGCTAATTAGCCTTATTGTCTTCCAGTCCTCCCGGTATATATAACCTGGACAAAGGAGGAAGGAATGGAGAGAAGGCATCAAAATCTGCAAGCCCAAGAAATGATTATGCAAATACTAGTTTATCACATGCTTGTAGCTTTTTTGATCCATTTGATCACTGAAAGCTGACATTCCAAGGGCCAGGATAGTCCTAACCTCTTCTTTGAATGTATTCGATTTCCTTGTGTTTTTATTGCCTTATTAATACTGTTGTGCGTGCAGCCCCTCCCCTCCTTCTGCAACACTGATGCAAGGAGCTGAGATTTACAAAAGTGACCTAGGCTCAGATCCCCAAAGGTATTTAGACACCCAATTCCTATTGAAATCAATGGGAGTTAGGCACCTAAATACCTTTTGAAGATCTGGGGCTTAGTGCATTTGGGTGTCTAGTGTTTGGGGGTCTGATTTGAGACCCCTTAGGGGGCTTGACTTTTCAGAAAGCATTGACCCTCCTCCCTTCTGAGAATCCAGGCGCTTCCAGCTGAGCCCGACTGAGCCCCCAAAATCATGAGTCACTTTTGAACATCTTGGTCCTTGTGTTCCTAACTCCAAAGAGTCACAGGCCTCGATCCTACAAATGTTCTTGCATCTGGATAATCGCATGGAGTCCGGCTGGACTCGAGGCGTGTGAAGTTACTCCTTATGTACATGAGTGTGTGTCCCCCTCCTCCCCCCTTAGTATTGGCGTGTGAGAGCTTGATTCTGCAAACACTTAAGCATGCATATAACTTTCCTCACAGGTGTTGCCCTGTTCCTTTTGTGTGATTAATTTTTTTTTTCAGAACGGGGTCCTAACTTTAAAAGTGATGCAGTGAGTTAAAGTAAAAAGCCAAAGGGGGATGCAGGAAGGAAGGACAAAGGTATGTACACATCCATTCAACTTACATATGCACCTTTCCCTGGAGCAATAGTGGAGAACTCCTCCATGATTATATTAGCTCAATTAAAATTGTATTGCTGTAACAATGGGTGCTACGTATTTTAATACGGATTGTAATTACAGATAATCTGCAGAAATGCAGGAAACCAACAGAAATGTGTGGGAACCAACCACTTCTTATTCTAGCCTGCAATTCTCCAAAAGCGGCTCTTCTCTCCCTGTTACTCTCTGGTATTATGAGCCAATGTCACACTAAAGGGATTCTTCATGATTCCCCAACTCCAGCGTGCAGCTATGATCTGCCTAGGTCCGGTATCTGAACAGCTCAGATGGAAACTCAGACTAATCCATGGATTTCACATGAAGTTTAACATTCTGTAGATCCACATTTAGCAGCCTTCCGGGGTCCCTGTAAAATTTTTATTTTCTTCCAAAAACAGCTTTGGGGTTGTTGTTGTTTTTTTAAAACGAAGTCTAACACGTTGAATCATCTTTTCATAAGCTGTCAGCTTGGTTTATATGTGAACTTGGAGCAGTGAATTATGCTCAAATCTCAGCGCAAACCTTGCACATGTGCAGTAAGAACTTGGCACAAATACCAACAATATGACATCTGTGATGGTAAGAGTCCTAAGCCCTTGGTGACAAGTTTGCAGAATCAGGGCCTAGAACTATAAAGGCAAATTATAAAAAAGGTCTGGTCATAGTTTTGTGATTTTTAGACCATCATTTTAAAATGATGCTGAAAGCCTTAGATTTTAGTATTTAACTCAAAATAGCCTCTCTTCCTTCCCTAAAGCTGATAACATTTTAAACCACTATCCCAATAGTCCCTCGGCAGCAACAAATGGACAGCTCTCCATGCTAGATGAAAGCCTCCATGATTCTATGGGACAAACTGTTGGCTCTCATTTATAGAATTCCTGCTCTCGCCCAGCCCCCTATCTAGCTTAGGTTTTACAGTGAAACTGATTCAACTTTTTCCTATCGGGGTCACTTATCCCTATATTTAAAAAAAGGCAGAGTTACTAACTTCCATTAATATAGCATCTTTCATCCCAATTTTAAGTCTAACAAACTGATATACAGGCATCTTTTCACTCACCACTAAGATGCAGCCACCTCTGGGGTGGAAAGCACTAGCCGTTTAACAGAGTAGAGCAAGTCTGTATAATACTGACAAAGGGCTGGAAGAAAAGATACTGTATGTGACAGTGCATAGAATCTTTTTGGAGGCTAGCAAAGAAGTGGTTAATTCTGGCTAGTGGAAGGAACATAGCTCCCTGCCCTGAGTGCACGGATTTGCAGGGTAACAGGGCTGGGCCAGTGGGAGGGAATTAATTATTTCCACCTACTCATATGAGAAGGATGGTGCTGTGGGCTGAGTCCAACAAATGAGGTCAAGATACCTAGGAGGAGGTAGAAATGTCAAGCTGGAGGTTGGCTTGCCCCTTTGGGGACCTTGGCTAAAGTGAGCTACGTTCTAGATTTTTGCTTTGCCCTTTAGCAGAGCGGAGTCCTGTCATTTGCCCCTTAAGAAGCGGGTGACTTACTCCTTTGTAGTTTCTGGTTTGTTGTACTATAGAGTTTCCAACCCTTAAAGACCAGCATTTCCATAACCCCCCGACTGTGTCTGGTCATGAGTGTTGAACATCACTGGTCAGACACTCAGTTCTAGGCCTTTGCAATGTCTAAAGGTTATCCGCTAAATGAGGGAAGTTGGGGGTGGAAAAGATCTTCTGGGTCATCTAGTTAATTCACCAGCAAGTGCAGGACTATGCTGCCTGCTTCTGGAAATACATTCTCTCCTGCTTTTTACAGTTTAGTCTCAAATATCTTGCGTGGTGGCTTTTCCACTCCTTAACTGGGAGACTATTTCACAATTTAATCTCCTCTTGGGGGGACTCTTTTACCTTTTCCTCATTCCATCCTGCTACACCTGGTTAGACCCCTTTTGGAGCAACCTAAACAATCCCTTTGCCTTGCTAATGATATTTCTATCCTTCAGGTATATATGGACTGCTATGGTTGGCAGTTAGTTCAGAGCCCTTCCCTTTATGTGTCTATAAAATACTTACTGCACTGCTGCCCCTAAACAAATTGATGATGTCCCCTCCAACTTCAGTCATCATGTAGCTCGGAAAATAACTCTTTCCATTGCACTGGTAACACAAGGGGTAGTGTTGAAATGTTCCCTGGGTTTCCGCAAGTGGAAATTTTTTCTTAATGCCACATTGCTGTGAAGATCTTCTGGTGAAATCCTGGAAGTCTTGCAAGTTTAATAGTAAAGGTTAATAATAATCACAACAGGCAGCACATCATTGCCTTTGTGTCTGGTTGAGAGATTTACAACGTAAGCTCCTGGCAGAGGAAGAAATTGCTTCAATCACTTGGAGTAATGGCACATGGAGAGCCACTTGGGCATGACTGCTATTTAACATGACAAACCCAGCCCGGCTTCATTTCATGTGCTGGTTCTTTTCTAATAAACATGTTACTCGATAAGGTGAGGATTATGTTTTCAAAAATAAGTAAATTGGAGATGGGGGAGAGGGGTCAGCGTGCAATGGATTTTTCAGGGGTGGGGCACAGTAGAAGGGAAAAAAGGCAACTCGTGGAATGTAGGGGATAACTCCTTTGCAGAGAGAGTCCCAAAACCCAAGGATAGCCCTTGCTTTGTGGATAGGTAGCCCCAAAGCCTGATGACTAAGCTCTTAAATTGGTACCCGTTGCTATAACATCTAGCATCTCTCCGAAGAATGCATCCGAAGAAGTGGGCTGTAGTCCACGAAAGCTTATGCTCTAATAAATTTGTTAGTCTCTAAGGTGCCACAAGTACTCCTGTTCTTCATCTAGCATCTCTGTGACTGATAATTAAAGACTGGGGGATTGAGATGATATTTGCAACAGGTGGAAACACATTATTGTCAGGTGCAGGCACAGGTTACTGTTGCTGGATTCAATCCAGCTGAGATGTTTGGGATCGTCTCCTTTTCCCCATACCTCTGACTGAGCTGATGTGAGTGATGGACGAGAGTTTTAAGTAGATCTTCAGTTTCTCCAGTCCTACCTGGCTAGGTCTTACTGTAGCAAGCTGTAATGAACTGTCCCTTTAAGACTTCTGTATTGTAACAAGAGAACCCCAGGACTGCTGGAGTTTAGTTTAGTGCAGGAAAACTTTGCACGGAGCAGGTTGTGGGAGCTCTGCTGTTACAAAAGCACTCAGAGCATACTGGTGTGTGTCTCTATTTGCTTCTATATGACACTACACAAGTAAAAAGATGAACCTATTGGAATCTCACTTACACTCCATTTTTCTGTTGGTCTCGAGGCACCCAACTACCAGGTAGATGGTCTCTTTTGCTTATGGTGTCAGAACTTCCAAGTCTTGTATTTGACTTGATTTGGAGGAGAAAACAAAGTTTTATTTTATCTAAATCAAGAAGACAGGAGGTGGGAGGCAGGGGGAGGGTTGCTCATAGCTGAAGCTGCTTTTAACATTTCCTGTGCATACTGTATATATGGTCTCACTGAAAGACAAGGGACTGACATTTAGAAGGTCACAAGCACGGTGTTTTTTTTTTCATCTTCCTATTTCATACCTCTCATAATTGCTCTGCCTTTCACTTCCTTTATGGTCACTGATAGTGTCTGAACTCAGTGTATGTGTGTGGAGGAGGATATACTTGAAGGAAGTAGAGAGGCAGACTTCCTAGTGGCGTGAGTGTTTTCTGAGGAGGACTCCCTTGTTCCTGCTATTGTCAAGCAACAGACGTTCTTGACCAGGCTGTTACAACAAAGCTAATGTAATGGTAAATATTGGTTCAAATTTTTACTACGGTCCATGGCTTCAAGCAATAAGTGACTTCTTTACATCATATGTATACACCCAGTGACCAAAATATGTGCAGTGAAATACAGTAACCCTTACTGCAATGGTTCAGGGCGGCGGCGGAAGGGGGGAACAGCTAGGGTGAGGGTTGTGGGTGGATGGACCTTAGAAGAGGGAGTGTGGAGAGACAGGCAGAGATGACAGATGTGGATCTGAGAGAGTGCAAGGTTTGGAACAGGATCAGACTCTGCCGCTGAGCTCGCCAATTCCAAAGACCTCTTCAGATGTGGCAACTGTGGAAATCGAATTTCAGTTGAATGGAGCCTGCAAAAGAATGTAATACACAGACCTGACATGTTGTCTGTATTCCAGTGGGGCCTAGAGGCCCCACTAAAGATCAGGGCCCCATTGTGCTAGCTGCTGACACAGATATGGTAAGAGACAAACAGTGCCCCAAAGAGTTTGCAGTTTAGGTACACAAGACAAAATGAGGGGAAAGGAAAGTGAAGCGACTTTCCTAATGCCAGTGGCACAACCAAGGTCTCCTAACCAGAGCTGTGAAGAGAAAGATTGTTCTAGTTTTGGGGGAGTGGGGGAGACATTTTGAAAATTGTTTCTTTTTTTTCCAATTTGGAATGAAAGCAAAAATGTGAGATTCTCTGTGAGGGGATGGCACCATGGACCCTGAAAGACACATTCTGATGGGAAAATAAGTTTCACTCGAATTTTCTATCCTGCTCTATCTGTTGATGCCTTTTATCTGCAAAAGACAGACAAAACTGAAAACTTCTCTGAGAAAAGAAAGTGTCTTGAAGTGCATCCATGTACGGTGTCCACAATATAACAAGGGGAAGAAGTGTGTGCCATGGGAGGTGATTTTAGACTTTGAGCTTGTTTGGAGGCCATGTGGAAAGAGGGTCTCAGTCAGGTTCCTACGGGAAAGGTATTCCCCACCATAGAAATCATCCACATATTTGGTACCTTTATTAACAGCCTCAGCAGAGAAAGTTGGGACTGAATAGACCATGTAGTCAGAACTCCCTTCTCTCCCCTAGGTGAGAAGGCCCCTCCCAGGGAATATGCAGGCTAATTTCTTAGGGAAATATCTAACAATTACTTATTTGATTGTATGTTCTTGGTCAGGTACCATCTTGTTGTGTGTTTATACAGTGCCTAGCACCATGGGGTCCTAGTCTGACTGGGGTTCCTAGGCTCTACTGTGCAATTCAAATGATGAAAATAAGAATGCGATGAGTAACATTACACAACTCAAGTATCAGGGGGTAGCCGTGTTAGTCTGAAGAAGTGGGTTTTTTACTCACAAAAGCTTATGCCCAAATAAATCGGTTAGTCTTTAAGGTGCTACCAGACTCCTCGTTTTTGTTATATAACTCGTCCTATTGCAGTTAAGGGGAACTAGTCAGGTGAGTGAAGTTTATGCATGTGCATATGTGTTTGCAGGATCAGAGCTTTGGAGCAAGGACTGTGTTTTAATTTGTATTTGTACAGCACATAGCGCAATAGGGGCTTGATTCTGACTGGGGACTCTGAGAGCCACTATAATATAACTATTAAGGCACAGTTTGAAACTGCGGAAGTATTTAAGTGCACTGTTGCCTAAGCTATACTAATTCTGTGGATGAATGAGGACTTCAGTTTTAGGGTCATCAATCCAATATCTTTTTGAAAAATAGCAATAGGAATTAAGTCTCTTAAAGTTAAACAGCTCAATAGCTTTTATTTTATTTTATTTTTTTTAAAGAAAAGTGAAATGCACCAATTCCCAGAAAGGACTGGGGGGAGGGGGGTTAATCTTCAGCGTGCTGCCTGAGAATTTAGCCTTGGGAGTTCCATTATTGCTAATGGGACTCATGCAGCTTAATTTCATGCAAGCTACACTAAAAATGTACCCCTAGCTGTCTGCAAAATTTCAGTTCTGAAATCAAGCCTCTTAAAAGTTAGAGCAGGATAAACAAACACCTGAAACACTCCCCCTCCCTCCACAGTATTTTCTTCTAGTTCACTTTTTATTAAAAAAACAAAGCAAGACAAAAACACACAACAGCTCTATGGATTTAAGCAATTTAAAAGGGGGAAATATGTATCTGGGCTGACAGCCTGCATGCCAAATTTCAGCTTGCTGCCAATTAAAGTGGCAGAGTTATAACCCCATTTTTTTCCAGGGGTTTAGTTGATGCCTTATCTTTAACTATGCTACTGTGAATGCCACACTGTAATACTTATCTAATAACCCTCCGCGCTGTCTCCTTCATTATGGGGCCTCTGTTATTAGGCTGCTCTTGTTAAATGACTGCTATCATCTGGTCCCAAAGTACATTAAATCCCATTATAATTATAAACACACTTCCCTATAACATTCTCTTTAGATTACATTCACACTGCTTTACCCCTCAGGCTATCTTTGTACTAATACCATTCTTATTTGCTATTTTAGCTGACAATATTGGGTCCTACACTATTTGCACCATACAAAGGGAGAAGGAAAAGTCTTTATAGCATTCCCATTACAGATTAATATTTTGATGTCCCCTGGAAACCTAACTTATCTCGTTTATTTCATTCACTCTCCCCTGTTATAAGTGTTATATTCTTTGAATACTTCTGTTATATAAGGAGACCTGGCTTTTAAAATGTGTTGAACTTTGGCACCGAAGTAGGTTGGAGACTTTATGAATTGCACCATTCCAGTATCTCCACTCCAAGAGTAGCTTTGTAAACAGGAAGTTTGGAGTAACCCAGAGTCTGTCCATCTCTCTCGCTTTTTTAAAATCCCTTCTTTTTTAGAACCAGGGGGTAACCATGTTAGTCTGTATCTACAAAAACAACAAGAAGTCTGGTGGCACCTTAAAGACTAACAGATTTATTTGGGCATAAGCTTTCGTGAGTAAAAACCTCACTTCTTCGGATGCACCTTCTTCGGTTGCATCCGAAGAAGTGAGGTTTTTACTCAGGAAAGCTTATGCCCAAATAAATCTGTTCGTCTTTAAGGTGCCACCAGACTCCTTGTTGTTCTTTTTTAGAGGCTGCGGTAGTAAATCTTTGCTCCAGACTTCACCCACGAAAGCTCATGCTCCATTACTTCTGTTAGTCTAGAAAGTGCCACAGGACTACTTCACTGCTATTCTTATGTCACAAGAACCTGCCCTTCCTCTAAACGGTGCTTGTTTGGGGGTAGTGTCTTTATCCGGGCAAAATAACCCTTATCAAGCCGACATTAAACTCTAACAGAAACAGTTTCCAGACAAAATTTGGCACCAAGCCCATGGGTTTGTCTTTGTTACCTTCGCCTTCTCTCAAATTCAGGCTTCAGTCTCCCTTCACCACTTACTAGCAAGGAGCTGGGCTTTCAAAGCGCAGAGTTTATTAAGCAAGGGGGATTTCTTGTATAAGGAATCTTGGGGAGTGTTCTGGCTTTCTATTGTTTCAAGTGGCCTTCTCTGACTTGAGGATTAATTGAAGATTAGGATCGGGGGTTAATTGTGTATTTCTCCGTTTGGGAAGATAGACTCCCTCCTAGGGTGAGTCTGCAGCGAGTTAAAGTCATTGTGAGGCAAGGCAAGCTACAGAGGACTGAATGACAGACAGCCTTATCGTTCGCCTCGATGCAGTTGTCACATTAGAAGTTCAACGAGTTTAAAATGTATCTTTTTTAACTTGTCTGTAGCGCAGTCAATTATATCCGCCTGCTTGTTAGGCAGCTTTTCGATTTAATGATTTCATGATTAACACGCTGGGGTTTTAACCCTGTCGCTGCTGCTCCCACCGCATCCCCAGCTTTCGGGTGTGTTACTAGGTGCGGAGGTAGGGGTGCGTGAGGGTGTGAAAGAGAAAACGCAACCTCGACTCCTGTGCACTAAAGTGGATACTACTCAATGCCTTGCATTGGGTGAGCGCTGCGCGCGCATTAATTAAGGCGCGGATTAATTTAAACCCGGCTCCTGATGACTGTGTTATGGCTTCTTGGCTCACGCACTTCGCGAGGCATCGGGAGTTGATCTGCAAAGACCTGTAGTTTGATTTCCGCTGCAGGGCGGCGGCGAGGTGGAGCAGGATGCGAGGAGCAGAGAGGAGTTGGCTGTCAGGCGTGCGGGGGGAGAGGAGACCGTGCGGCAGGTGTCCAACCTAGGAGCTGCGTTTGCGGCCAGGGAACAAAATTCAGCAGCCGTCGGGTGACCTACCCAGTGGCAGGATTAAAAGTGAGCGAGTGCGGGGCTCTGGTGTGTCAAACAACCCCGCCAGAGCCCGGCCTCCGAGCCACGTTTCGTGCCATGCGCTGGGGGGGGCGGTGTGTGTGGACGGGTCTCTCTCGCCTCTGTGCACCTTGTCCTGAAGCCATCCAGCCTGCCCCCAGCCACCGCCCGGGAGACACTTGTTCTGGGAGCGCCCCGCTCCGCAGGGCACCTGTCCACACGCTGCTCCGTGACACCCCCCGCTGTCGGGGGGGTGCAGCAGGTGCGCCCTCGGAGCCGCTCTAAAGCCGGATTGGAGGCATTGGCTCCGGTTCATTGATTCCCAAAGGCAGCCGCCTGCTCCTCCATGTTTGTTGTTGGCAGAGGCCAGCGGAGCCAAGCGCTGTCCAGCAGCCCTCGGGATCAGCGTCCCCCTTCCCTCCCCATCCCCTCCTGCCGATCTCCCAAGCCAAGCAGCCGGAGCAAACCCGCGCTCCCTTCCTTCCCCCCCCCCCCACGCAACTTTTCGGTGACTTCCTTCGGGATGGGGCAGGAGCCGAGACCAGGGTCCCCCCCCCCCCCATCGCTGCAAGCATCTCCCGCGGGCTGGCACGCCTCTGCCCAGGACTTGGGGACCGATCCTTCTGGCGGAGCAAACCGAGAAGCGACCTCCCCAGCAGCGCTACGATAGACACCCCCCGTCCCTCTTGCATCTCCCCAGCTCCGGGCAGCACAAGCTGTCAGGAGATGCGGCTGGCTTGGGGAGGGGCGGTTCAAGGGACTGGCGAAGGAGGGATGCTCAGGGGGAGCGGTTCCCATCTGCGTTCTCCTAATCCGGAGCCTAATCCGGCTCAGCACCAATTCCCAGAAAGGACCGGCTGGCACAGAGCTCTGGCTTGGTCCTTCCACACGGATCGCCCTGGTGCGATTCCCGAGGGAAAGGACCCGGAGCGTTTTGTGGCGTCCCACTCTGAGCCCGGTTTCCTTCGCCTTTCGCATCAGTGTGGGGAACGGGTGCGCAGCCCAGACTAACAAAATGCTTCTCATTCACCCTGCAAGGCGTAGTTAACGCACAGGATAGTATAAACCCGGGGTGTCCTGTCTCCGCAATCCGCCTGAGAACAGTCCGCTCCCTCCTTGGAAACCAACAGCTGCATTGCACGAGTCGCGGACTAAATCCTAACACAGGGTTGCAGAGAGACCCGAAAATCAACCCTCACCCCCCCCCCCCAATCAGCACTGCTGATCAAGTTTGAAGGGGGGGCGTGTGGGATTTGGGGGGCAAGGGCTAGTCACTATTTCATCTCGTCCTTTCCGAAGTAGTCCCTCAAGTATGAACAGGTTAGGGGGGAAAACACCCCAACCCCGCCGTGTTGCAGAAATGGGAAGATGGCAGGCACCCGCTTCTGTTCCAACTCCAGCTGCCCGAGAGGAAGCCCAAGCAGGGGAAAGTTTCACTCCTTGCGGCAGCTTCCCTGATAGAGGCCCAGCCTCAAACCTGGGCCCCTGAACACGTCCCAGCCATGCGGAGCTCCCCCAGGGTGGGTGTCCGGAAAGTTTCCCCCTCCAGGCTGGGTGGAGGCTCCTAGCAGAGACCTCAGCAGCTCGGGGGTCAGGCAGCTCAGTTTGGCTCCGAGGTGCGTGCGGGGGGCAGCTCTGGCTGCAAGGCGCTGCGCCTATGGGTGGGGGGCGGGAGCAGGGTGTGGGGCAGCGGTGTGGGCACGAGCCCCGTGCCAGCAGTAAAGATGGTGCCCGGGCCGGGCTTCGCTGGGGTGGGAGCGGCCCTGACGCGGGGCGCAAACCGGCACGTCAGTCAGCGCGGTGTTGATTTGCTAACCTTAAAGCAGAGAGGAGTTGGAGAGGATGAGAGCGGGTACTGCGAACTGCCGGATTATGCTGTTGCTTTAATAACAAGCAACAGTTCCACCGCCAAGCCCGCCCGGCTGCTGGGAGCTTCCTGACATGCCCCAGACAGTGAGTGCCCAGGGGCGGCTTGCAACAACTTGCTGGGGGCTCTGGAGAGGAGGGGGCGCGGGGAGGGCTGTTCGGGTTTGCTCGTGAATGGATGCACGGGGAGAGAGATGCAAGGAGATAAATTGTCTTGCCTGTCATTTCTGCACCTCGCCGGCTCTCCCTTGGGGAAACTGGGGGGTGACGGGCAACTGGACATTGAGGGAGGGGGTGCTTGCAATGGGAGAGGGAGGACTGGGGACGCTTTGGGTTCGGGGGGAGGGAGCTGGCAGGAAGATGAGAAGCAATTGTTGTGATGTACTGGCTAATATGTATTCTGAAGGGCTCGCAGGAGAGAAATGTGACTTCCCCTCCTTATTTATTTGGTGCGTGGGGAGGTGGAGCCCTGTGATGGTTTCAGAGCGAAAAAGCTCGTTTCTGGGCTGGGGAGGGTTAACGGGAGGGTTGGGGAAACGATTTTCCTCTTTTTCTTCTTCTTCTTTTTTTCATTTTAGTTTTGCAATTAGCGTCTGGGGAAGGTTGGGATCGAGCCGGGCCCCTTCGGTTTTCTGTCCCTTCAGCCTTCTTTGCTTGGAAAGATGCAATTTAAAAAAAAATGTTGGGTGCCCGGTGTTGTAATGCAAACGCCTTTGTGCGGTCTAAAAATAAAAATCCCCCCGGCTGGGTTCATTCCAGCCTTTGCACCTGATGACTATTTGATGCCTTGTAAATACAGCGGGGTCTGTTTTTTAATTGTCCAGCTCAAAACTTCCTTCGCCGGGTGCAAATCTCTATCCCTGGCGGTCGCTGGCCAAGTTGGGAGCGAGCAGGATAAACAGCCAAGCCGGAATATTGTTTTTACCCCTCAGCTCCCTGTTCCATCCCACAATAGAGCTCGCTTTCCTCCCCGGCCCTACGTGACAGATCCACGGACAGGGCTCCGTCCATGGTGGGGTCGCTACATGGAGTTCAGGCTGGTCTGCATTTGATCTTGATTATCTCTGGCCAAGTGCCGTTTAGTTGAGACAAATACCCTCCCCTCCCACCCCCCAGAGAGTCGTGTGAGTGTGCAAGGGGCTTTTGCGAGAATTGCAATATTTTGCATCCCATCTTCCAATGTTCCCCTTGCTTCCTCTGCGCGAGGAAGTTGGCGCTTGTCCCCCGGTTTAACCAGTCAGCGCAGGCGGTGGGTTCGGGGCGAGGGTGGGTTTCAAACGCTGTTGGGTTATTTTATTTATTTCTTTGATTGTGGTGGTTTGAAGTTTGTTGAAAGCGACCCGAGTAGGGCGGGGGGGACTGGTGATTATCTTGTGCGATAGAAGCTGTGATTTTCATTGGCTCCAAAGTGCGGAGCTGGGCTCCCTGCTCTGCCCAATAACTAAAACAGATGCTGCTGGTTTCCCCGTGATTTGTGTTGGTGGATGTGTGGGTCCCGGAGGGGGTAGGTGTTATCTTGGGGGGCTGCTTGCGGCGGGGGAGGGGGAAGGACGGACACACGCTGCTGAAACTTGGTCGAACAAGCCCCAATCCGGAGCTGATAAAGGGTTTTAATAGTTCACTCATTAACCCTTCCAGCTCGCCCCTGGCAGCTTTGTTCTCGGGCGAGGTGCCTCTCCCCGGGGCTAAGGGAAGGCGGACAGCGGCGGCTCTGATGCAGAAGCCCCAGCTTTAGCGCCGGGTTGGGGGCGAAGCTTCGCTGCTTTCCCCGGGGCTTTCCCATCCCTGACCCGATCCAGCATGATACTGCCCGCGGCAAGGTGCGGGGGGCAGCTGGGGCCCCCGGGTCGGAGCTCCCGAGGCTGGGTTTGGGGGCGGGGGCCGCGGCAAGGTGCGGGGGGCAGCTGGGGCCCCCGCGTCGGAGCCCCCGAGGCTGGGTTTGGGGGCGGGAGCCGGGGCTTGGAGCCCCCTTTGGAGGGTTTGGGGGTCTTGCCCGAAGGCTGAGCCTGGGGGTGTCTCTGGAGCTGGGTTGGGGGGGGCGAGGCCCGGAGGAGGGGAGCCGAGTGGGGGGGGGTGTCTCCAGGAGGGGGCCGATCTGAGGGGTGCCTCGGGGTCCCCCTGGAGCCGCTCCCCCGTCCCCGCTCGCTGCCCGCGGTGTTTGCCCAGGGACAAAGAGGGTAGGAGCGGCCCCGCGGCGGGCTGGGACTGGGGCAGCGGGGCCGGGCTGCCCTGGCCCGGGGTCCTGGGGCGGGGCGGGGTGGGGTGTCCGCCCGGCGGGACCCCTCTTGCTTCACGCCCGCTGGGGGGCCGGGCACCAAGCGTGCGTGGCGAAGGGGCGAGCCGGTAGGATGGGAGAGGAAGCAAGTCCCCAGGGCACAGATTTCCCCCCCCCCCTTCCCCGGGGGCACGAGGGGGCAGCGGGGTGGGGCCCAGAGGAGCACAGACCCCCCCCCTTCCCCGGGGGCACGAGGGGGCAGCGGGGTGGCCCCTTGTGTGGAGGGCATGTGCGTGTATTTAGGGGAGAGGCCTCTGGGGTGCCAGGTGTGGGTAGGACTCTCTGTGTTTGGGGAGGGGGTTCCCATGGTGTATCTGACAGGCAGTGGGTGGTAGCAGACACAACAAGGTTTGCTGGTTTAAGGAGGGTGGCTGTGATTTCTTTGGGGGGCAGGGGAGAAGCCTGGACACCCCCCCCCTTCAGCTTCCAACAACAAGAGGTCCCCCTCCATTCCCTCAGGTTTCATTGTCTCCATGTCACAAAGGTGCCTGGAGGGTGACCCGGTTTATCAGCCAGGTGAGCTGGACTGTGCAAGGCCAATGAGTGCTGCAGCTTGGAACCCAGCAACCCTCCCCATGTCCCCTCTGTGCCTTTCAGCCCTTGTAAAGGGAAGTTGGTTTATGATGTTTTTGGAGCTTCCACAGTTTCCAGGCTCCAAAACTTACTTGTAGAAACTTTGTATGCAACTTGCTGCCCAAATCCTAAACTAAAAGTTCTTTTCCCCTTTTATTCCCCCCCCCCCTCTATTTTGTTTTCACAGACAACGGGCACCTAAAGCTCGTCCCGGATTGAGCAAAGACAGACACCCTAATGACTAAATCTCAGGCGCACTATGGATTTGACTAAAATGGGTCTGATACAGCTCCAGAACCCCAGCCACCCCACGGGGCTCCTGCAGAAAGCCAACCAAATGCGCCTTGCAGGGACTCTGTGTGATGTGGTCATCATGGTGGACAATCAGGAATTCCATGCTCACAGGACAGTGTTGGCTTGCACTAGTAAAATGTTTGAAATCCTCTTCCACCGCAACAGTCAGCATTATACCCTGGACTTTCTTTCACCAAAGACTTTTCAGCAGATACTGGAATACGCTTACACGGCCACCCTCCAGGCGAAAGTTGAAGACTTGGATGATCTTCTTTACGCAGCCGAGATCCTAGAAATAGAATATCTGGAAGAACAGTGTCTGAAGATCCTGGAGACCATTCAGGCATCTGATGAGAATGATACAGAAGTCAACATGACGGATGGTGGCACTGAAGAGGAGGAGGATAGGAAATCTAGGTACATCAAAAACCTATTCATCTCCAAGCATTCCAGCGAAGAGAGTAGTTATGCCAGCATGGCCAGTCAGAGTTTAACGGGGGCAATGGTGGAGCAGAGCCCATCTGTCTCGACTTCATTTGGACTCTCCGCGATGAGCCCCACCGAAGGCGGCAGTGGATAGTTTGATGACCATTGGGCAGTCATTATTGCAAGGGGCTCTACAGCAGAACGCCTCCGAGGACTTGCATTCCACGAGCAGCCGCCACCCCAGTCTCTCCGAAGTAAAAACAGAAGTGATGCAAGTGGAGGAGGCGTCTAGCCACGAAAGCCCAAGGACAGCAGAGTCCAGCACTTCTGGAGGGGACAAGTCGGATGACAAAAGCAAGGAAGGCCCTGGTACTCCCACGCGTAGCAGTGTTATCACAAGTGCCCGTGAACTTCATTATGCCCGGGATGAGAATGCAGAGCAACCCCTCGAGTTGGGCCAAGGAGTGCCAGTCGGACCGGAGCACTCGATTTCTCAAAGCGAGAAACACCTGAGTATATATTCAGTGCTACCAAATCACAAAACTGACTCGATGCTCAGCATGCCATCCTCCATGACATCGGCTCTTCACATGCAGCCAGCTCTTGCCGTGTCCATGGACTTCAGCGCTTACGGGGGGCTTCTGCCTCAAGGCTTTATTCAAAGGGAGCTGTTCAGTAAGCTGGGTGAATTGGCAGCTGGCATGAAAACTGAAAACCGAGCCATTGGTGAACAGTGCAGTGTTTGTGGCGCAGAACTGCCGGACAACGAGACGGTGGAACAACACAGGTAAGTCCTCTACGCTCGTTTAGTCTTGATGTGGCAGCACGTCTCTCCTGACATTTGATGGTTCGTGTCACAATCCGCTTGTTTTGTATTTTTGTTCAGTTGAATTTAGTGCTGGCAGGTTTGACCCCAGTAGAGGAAAATGAATTCCATCTAGGGGTAATTCACCCCTGTGCATAGGCCTCTCATGAAGCCTGTGCATCACTCTTCAGTTCCTGCTTAAGACATCAAGAAGTGGGACCTTAGTGGTGCATAGGCCTCTTGCTGGCCCTTTGCACATGTGTGAATTTACTGCATTCTCAACTGGGTAAAGCATTAACAAGCTGCAAACTAAATAGGGGAGGGCCCAGGGAGAGGTTTATGATGGGGACCCTTGTCTGTGGAGAACTACTCTGAGCCGCACCAACTTACTTAGCCAAGACAATGAGTTACGGTCACTACCCGCCCAGATTTGAGCTCACAACCCAGATAGGAAAGACTCTATCTTATTACCAGTTCCAAAAAGATGTGCACTTCCTTCTTTGGGTTGAAAAGAGGATGGCACTCAGCTCAGGCAATAGTCTGTCCTTTTCTTGCTCCATGTCCTAACGTGCATTCAGATGCCAGGGCTAGGTATGTGCTGTAATTTCTTTTTCTTTTTTTTTTAACATTGGGAGGAGGCATGTTGGATTCTCACATCCTGCTCCAGAGACTCTGGGATTTTTCTCTCTGCCTTCTGGATTGATATAGAGTGTAAAATTAACAATCTCATGATGCCGCTCCCCATTGAGTAACTGCGTATGAAATACTTACCTTCTTGCTTCTCAAACAAGTGTCAGATGATGACTTTGGTGTCATAGTGATCAGAGTTTGAACCAAGAGAACGTCCAGAGTAACTACGCGGTCAGTGCCAAGTATCAGAGGGATGGCTGTGTTAGTCTGTATCCACAAAAACAATGAGGAGTCCGGTGGCACCTTAAAGACGAACAGATTTATTTAGGCATAAGCTTTCGTGGGTAAAAACCCACTTCTTCAGATACCCACGAAAGCTTATGCCTAAATAAATCTGTTCGTCTTTAAGGTGCCACCGGACTCCTTGTTGTTGTTGTTGTTTGGTGGTTTTTTTTTTTTTTTTTTTTTTTTTTTTTTTTTACTTTTCCTCTAGTCTTTTCT